GGTTGCCATGGCGTTGTTGTGCTGAAACATTCTAGAATATTTTCCAATAACTAGTGTTGCAATGCAGCTTTCGTTGAGAAGCTGGACTCAAACTCTAAATTGGCGACTACTATTGCTGGGCACCCTTTCTGCTCTTCAGGGTAGTGGCGCAATGGATAACGCGTCTGACTACGGATCAGAAGATTCTAGGTTCGACTCCTGGCTAGCTCGCACAATAATTATAATATTGGTGACAGCTTACCACCTTTCTCTCCTCCTTCAATAATTTAAAGAGATGACAGTGTCAGGATTACAATAACTCTGGCTGTTTTCAAATACACGTCAACTGGTGATTTCTTTTTCATTGGCATTGAGGTAGAACCTTGTAGCTCAAAAGTGCATTTATTTTGGAGATGGTTTGCAGTCTATCGAGATGACTTCACCAGCCGTGATCGTATAGTGGTTAGTACTCTGCGTTGTGGCCGCAGCAACCCCGGTTCGAATCCGGGTCACGGCAGCTGATCTCCTGGCATCTATAATTTTAGAGTTCTTGAAGACTAATGGAAATGGGCCACACCAAAAAACTTTCACAAGATAAGTGATTATCTGAGCCGATCCAAGTAACAATTGGAACATAATAAATAAGGTCTTTTATTGAACCACTACTGATATGAAACCCACACTCACTCATTTTTTTTCGCCAGGACTACAACATTGTTGATGTAAATTCCACAAGTTTGATCAGAACTTCAAAAATTCAATGCAATCAGGATCTATTGAGGCCAAGCTCTCGTGCAGCACCTCCAGGTATGGCCCTAGTTCAGTCTATAAAGCACAAAACTCTTTAGTTCAGGGTTCTGGGTTAGAGCCTTACTTTGACTGTAAGGTTTTTAGGCAGATGTGACAAGTATGTGTGCTTGTTGACTCAACCATTGATGTGTTTGTTTCTGGCAAAATCACATCAGAGCCTGACTTCAACTCATAAGTGGAAGAATTAAATATTTGTGAACACAACACAGCTCATATTCAATTTCAATGGGTGGAATATATTTGCACTTCTTCAATGGGTTGCATTACCATTGGGTTACCATAGTGATGCCAAGAAGTGAGACATTTTAGAACATGCAAGTAGATTCTAGAATCACTATCGTTGATATCATTGAGAAGCCATGGGGTTGCCATGGCGTTGTTGTGCTGAAACATTCTAGAATATTTTCCAATAACTAGTGTTGCAATGCAGCTTTCGTTGAGAAGCTGGACTCAAACTCTAAATTGGCGACTACTATTGCTGGGCACCCTTTCTGCTCTTCAGGGCTAGTGGCGCAATGGATAACGCGTCTGACTACGGATCAGAAGATTCTAGGTTCGACTCCTGGCTAGCTCGCACAATAATTTAACTACATATTGGTGACTGGCTTACCACCTTTCTCTCCTCCTTCAATAATTTAAAGAGATGACAGTGTCAGGATTACAATAACTGGCTGTTTTCAAATACACGTCAACTGGTGATTTCTTTTTCATTGGCATTGAGGTAGAACCTTGTAGCTCAAAAGTGCATTTATTTTGGAGATGGTTTGCAGTCTATCGAGATGACTTCACCAGCCGTGATCGTATAGTGGTTAGTACTCTGCGTTGTGGCCGCAGCAACCCCGGTTCGAATCCGGGTCACGGCAGCTGATCTCCTGGCATCTATAATTTTAGAGTTCTTGAAGACTAATGGAAATGGGCCACACCAAAAAACTTTCACAAGATAAGTGATTATCTGAGCCGATCCAAGTAACAATTGGAACATAATAAATAAGGTCTTTTATTGAACCACTACTGATATGAAACCCACACTCACTCATTTTTTTCGCCAGGACTACAACATTGTTGATGTAAATTCCACAAGTTTGATCAGAACTTCAAAAATTCAATGCAATCAGGATCTATTGAGGCCAAGCTCTCGTGCAGCACCTCCAGGTATGGCCCTAGTTCAGTCTATAAAGCACAAAACTCTTTAGTTCAGGGTTCTGGGTTAGAGCCTTACTTTGACTGTAAGGTTTTTAGGCAGATGTGACAAGTATGTGTGCTTGTTGACTCAACCATTGATGTGTTTGTTTCTGGCAAAATCACATCAGAGCCTGACTTCAACTCATAAGTGGAAGAATTAAATATTTGTGAACACAACACAGCTCATATTCAATTTCAATGGGTGGAATATATTTGCACTTCTTCAATGGGTTGCATTACCATTGGGTTACCATAGTGATGCCAAGAAGTGAGACATTTTAGAACATGCAAGTAGATTCTAGAATCACTATCGTTGATATCATTGAGAAGCCATGGGGTTGCCATGGCGTTGTTGTGCTGAAACATTCTAGAATATTTTCCAATAACTAGTGTTGCAATGCAGCTTTCGTTGAGAAGCTGGACTCAAACTCTAAATTGGCGACTACTATTGCTGGGCACCCTTTCTGCTCTTCAGGGCTAGTGGCGCAATGGATAACGCGTCTGACTACGGATCAGAAGATTCTAGGTTCGACTCCTGGCTAGCTCGCACAATAATTTACACTAATATTGTGACTGCTACACCCTTTCTCTCCTCCTTCAATAATTTAAAGAGATGACAGTGTCAGGATTACAATAACTGGCTGTTTTCAAATACACGTCAACTGGGTGATTTCTTTTTCATTGGCATTGAGGTAGAACCTTGTAGCTCAAAAGTGCATTTATTTTGGAGATGGTTTGCAGTCTATCGAGATGACTTCACCAGCCGTGATCGTATAGTGGTTAGTACTCTGCGTTGTGGCCGCAGCAACCCCGGTTCGAATCCGGGTCACGGCAGCTGATCTCCTGGCATCTATAATTTTAGAGTTCTTGAAGACTAATGGAAATGGGCCACACCAAAAAACTTTCACAAGATAAGTGATTATCTGAGCCGATCCAAGTAACAATTGGAACATAATAAATAAGGTCTTTTATTGAACCACTACTGATATGAAACCCACACTCACTCATTTTTTTTCGCCAGGACTACAACATTGTTGATGTAAATTCCACAAGTTTGATCAGAACTTCAAAAATTCAATGCAATCAGGATCTATTGAGGCCAAGCTCTCGTGCAGCACCTCCAGGTATGGCCCTAGTTCAGTCTATAAAGCACAAAACTCTTTAGTTCAGGGTTCTGGGTTAGAGCCTTACTTTGACTGTAAGGTTTTTAGGCAGATGTGACAAGTATGTGTGCTTGTTGACTCAACCATTGATGTGTTTGTTTCTGGCAAAACACATCAGAGCCTGACTTCAACTCATAAGTGGAAGAATTAAATATTTGTGAACACAACACAGCTCATATTCAATTTCAATGGGTGGAATATATTTGCACTTCTTCAATGGGTGGCATTACCATTGGGTTACCATAGTGATGCCAAGAAGTGAGACATTTTAGAACATGCAAGTAGATTCTAGAATCACTATCGTTGATATCATTGAGAAGCCATGGGGTTGCCATGGCGTTGTTGTGCTGAAACATTCTAGAATATTTTCCAATAACTAGTGTTGCAATGCAGCTTTCGTTGAGAAGCTGGACTCAAACTCTAAATCGGCGACTACTATTGCTGGGCACCCTTTCTGCTCTTCAGGGTTAGTGGCGCAATGGATAACGCGTCTGACTACGGATCAGAAGATTCTAGGTTCGACTCCTGGCTAGCTCGCACAATAATTTAACTACATATTGGTGACTGGCTTACCACCTTTCTCTCCTCCTTCAATAATTTTAAAGAGATGACAGTGTCAGGATTACAATAACTGGCTGTTTTCAAATACACGTCAACTGGTGATTTCTTTTTCATTGGCATTGAGGTAGAACCTTGTAGCTCAAAAGTGCATTTATTTTGGAGATGGTTTGCAGTCTATCGAGACGACTTCACCAGCCGTGATCGTATAGTGGTTAGTACTCTGCGTTGTGGCCGCAGCAACCCCGGTTCGAATCCGGGTCACGGCAGCTGATCTCCTGGCATCTATAATTTTAGAGTTCTTGAAGACTAATGGAAATGGGCCACACCAAAAAACTTTCACAAGATAAGTGAATATCTGAGCCGATCCAAGTAACAATTGGAACATAATAAATAAGGTCTTTTATTGAACCACTACTGATATGAAACCCACACTCACTCATTTTTTTCGCCAGGACTACAACATTGTTGATGTAAATTCCACAAGTTTGATCAGAACTTCAAAAATTCAATGCAATCAGGATCTATTGAGGCCAAGCTCTCGTGCAGCACCTCCAGGTATGGCCCTGTTCAGTCTATAAAGCACAAAACTCTTTAGTTCAGGGTTCTGGGTTAGAGCCTTACTTTGACTGTAAGGTTTTTAGGCAGATGTGACAAGTATGTGTGCTTGTTGACTCAACCATTGATGTGTTTGTTTCTGGCAAAATCACATCAGAGCCTGACTTCAACTCATAAGTGGAAGAATTAAATATTTGTGAACACAACACAGCTCATATTCAATTTCAATGGGTGGAATATATTTGCACTTCTTCAATGGGTTGCATTACCATTGGGTTACCATAGTGATGCCAAGAAGTGAGACATTTTAGAACATGCAAGTAGATTCTAGAATCACTATCGTTGATATCATTGAGAAGCCATGGGGTTGCCATGGCGTTGTTGTGCTGAAACATTCTAGAATATTTTCCAATAACTAGTGTTGCAATGCAGCTTTCGTTGAGAAGCTGGACTCAAACTCTAAATTGGCGACTACTATTGCTGGGCACCCTTTCTGCTCTTCAGGGCTAGTGGCGCAATGGATAACGCGTCTGACTACGGATCAGAAGATTCTAGGTTCGACTCCTGGCTAGCTCGCACAATAATTTAACTACATATTGGTGACTGGCTTACCACCTTTCTCTCCTCCTTCAATAATTTAAAGAGATGACAGTGTCAGGATTACAATAACTGGCTGTTTTCAAATACACGTCAACTGGTGATTTCTTTTTCATTGGCATTGAGGTAGAACCTTGTAGCTCAAAAGTGCATTTATTTTGGAGATGGTTTGCAGTCTATCGAGATGACTTCACCAGCCGTGATCGTATAGTGGTTAGTACTCTGCGTTGTGGCCGCAGCAACCCCGGTTCGAATCCGGGTCACGGCAGCTGATCTCCTGGCATCTATAATTTTAGAGTTCTTGAAGACTAATGGAAATGGGCCACACCAAAAAACTTTTCACAAGATAAGTGAATATCTGAGCCGATCCAAGTAACAATTGGAACATAATAAATAAGGTCTTTTATTGAACCACTACTGATATGAAACCCACACTCACTCATTTTTTTTCGCCAGGACTACAACATTGTTGATGTAAATTCCACAAGTTTGATCAGAACTTCAAAAATTCAATGCAATCAGGATCTATTGAGGCCAAGCTCTCGTGCAGCACCTCCAGGTATGGCCCTAGTTCAGTCTATAAAGCACAAAACTCTTTAGTTCAGGGTTCTGGGTTAGAGCCTTACTTTGACTGTAAGGTTTTTAGGCAGATGTGACAAGTATGTGTGCTTGTTGACTCAACCATTGATGTGTTTGTTTCTGGCAAAATCACATCAGAGCCTGACTTCAACTCATAAGTGGAAGAATTAAATATTTGTGAACACACAACCAGCTCATATTCAATTTCAATGGGTGGAATATATTTGCACTTCTTCAATGGGTTGCATTACCATTGGGTTACCATAGTGATGCCAAGAAGTGAGACATTTTAGAACATGCAAGTAGATTCTAGAATCACTATCGTTGATATCATTGAGAAGCCATGGGGTTGCCATGGCGTTGTTGTAAGGTTGTTTAAGGATTTAAGAAGAAAAAAAGTTCAGGATGACAAGGGACACAAAAATCCCCACAAAATCCGAACTTTATGAAGGATGTAGGTTCTTTGTCAGCTGAGGTCGAGCTGTTTTCTGGCAAGAAGAATCCCCCGAGCACATGGGTCTTTCAGCTCCAATCTGAAGGCCCTTATAAATGTTTTGCCAATTTTTTTATTTTATTGTAACTTCTCTACTCTTTACCTATCTTTCTAACTGTTGCACTCAGCCAAAACAATTTCCAAGTCTGTGACTTCCTGATACTTACGTGGCAATAAAAATGATTCTGATTCTGAGGCTAGTAATACCCCTTCCAGTTAATATAATAGCTCCATGGTTTAAACTAAACAACCTTAGCAGACTTACAACAACATCCTGAAAGATCAAGGCAGCTCAGACTATTTCATTTAAAATGTCAAAGCACACAGCTCCCCCTTCACACACACATTCCCGCAAACCCCACAAAGTGAGGTCGTAGTTAAAAACATGAAAACTGAGGACTTGCCTTTCCCAATGTTTTAGGAGGAAGAAAAAACACTTTCTAGACACTTGATGGCGCTGCGGAGCTATACACTCCATTGAAAAAATGTTAGAACCAAGATTTAAGAAAAAGTTTTGAACCATCAGAGTGGGGACAATAAGTGAAATTTGCAAAAAAAAAATCATGAATAGACCTTTTTTAACTCTTTGAAGGTATATTTAGAATTATATAGTTGGTCACATGTGCAAATGGACACAGATTATGTGGGATCACAGCAATTTTAATAAAACAAAGCAAAACATTTGAAAGACAGGTTTATTTGCATCTTTGTATCTTTGTACAGGACAATTATAAAGGACCTAATACAAAGTGCTCTTGAACGGGACTTTAAAACATAACTGTGCACTTAACATTAAAGCAGGGCGGTCAAACTCATTCCTAAAGCGCCGCTGTGGCTGCAGGTTTTCCATCAGACCAAGCAGGAGCAGAGCAGACTCCTCCCATTTCCTCAAACCTGCAGGTTAAGACTGAACTCACTGAGGAAATGGGAGGAGTCTGCTCTGCTCCTGCTTGGTCTGATGGAAAACCTGCAGCCACTGCGGCGCTTTGGGAATGAGTTTGACACAAATACCAGCTACACAAGCTGCCTCTTGAGTCGGATAATAGTATTATACACAAAGTACTTGAGGTCCTTCCAGGTTCTGTTGATGAGGGCTGCAGACTCCTGTGTGAGGCACAGCACACAGAGCCAGGTACTTCCCCATCCTCTTCTCCACGGCTCACTCCAGGGTTTCTAGAAGCTTCTGATGGAGACAATAAGACACATAAAGACTTATGTTTATCCTGATGACCAGGTCTGGACCAGGTCTAAACCAGGACTGAACCAGGACTAAACCAGGACTGAACCAGGACTGAACCAGGACTACCCCAGGACTGAAACAGGACTGAACCAGGTCTAAATCAGGTCTAAATCAGGTCTAAACCAGGTCTAAACCAGGTCTAAACAAGGACTAAACCAGGTCTAAACCAGGTCTAAACCAGGTCTAAACCAGGTCTAAACCAGGTCTAAACCAGGTCTAAACCAGGTCTAAACCAGGTCTAAACAAGGACTAAACAAGGACTAAACCAGGACTAAACCAGGAGTAAACCAGGACTAAACCAGGATCAGTTGTACTCACCATCTATCCTCTTGGTCCGTTTGTTTTTCTGGGCCTTTGTGGAGGTCGGCTCTAGCTCCTCTTCATCAGACACTTCAGCACACGCTAAGAACACACAGAAGGGTCAGCAAGGACTAAACCAGGACTGAACCAGGACTAAACCAGGTCTGAACCAGGACTGAACCAGGACTAAACCAGGACTAAACCAGGACTAAACCAGGATCAGTTGTACTCACCATCTATCCTCTTGGTCCGTTTGTTTTTCTGGGCCTTTGTGGAGGTCGGCTCTAGCTCCTCTTCATCAGACACTTCAGCACACGCTAAGAACACACAGAAGGGTCAGCAAGGACTGAACAGGGACTAAACCAGGACTAAACCAGGTCTGAACCAGGACTGAACCAGGACTAAACCAGGACTAAACCAGGACTAAACCAGGATCAGTTGTACTCACCATCTATCCTCTTGGTCCGTTTGTTTTTCTGGGCCTTTGTGAAGGTCGGCTCTAGCTCCTCTTCATCAGACACTTCAGCACACGCTAAGAACACACAGAAGGGTCAGCAAGGACTGAACAGGGACTAAACCAGGTCTGAACCAGGACTGAACCAGGACTAAACCAGGACTAAACCAGGACTAAACCAGGTCTGAACCAGGTCTGAACCAGGACTAAACCAGGACTAAACCAGGTCTGAACCAGGACTAAACCAGGACTAAACCAGGACTAAACCAGGACTAAACCAGGTCTGAACCAGGTCTGAACCAGGACTAAACCAGGACTAAACCAGGTCTGAACCCAGACTGAACCAGGTCTGAACCAGGTCTGAACCAGGTCTAAACCAGGACTGAACCAGGTCTAAACCAGGTCTACCCAAGGTCTAAACCAGGTCTAAACCAGGTCTACCCTAGGTCTAAACCAGGACTGAACCAGGACTGAACCAGGACTGAACCAGGACTGAACCAGGTCTAAACCAGGTCTAAACCAGGACTGAACCAGGTCTGAACCAGGTCTAAACCAGGTCTACCCTAGGTCTAAACCAGGACTGAACCAGGTCTAAACCAGGTCTAAACCAGGTCTACCCTAGGTCTAAACCAGGACTACCCCAGGACTGAAACAGGACTGAAACAGGACTGAACCAGGTCTAAACCAGGACTGAACCAGGACTGAACCAGGACTGGACCAGGTCTAAACCAGGACGGAACCAGGTCTACCCTAGGTCTAAACCAGGTCTAAACCAGGACTAAACCAGGACTAAACCAGGACTAAACCAGGATCAGTTGTACTCACCATCTGTCCTCTTGGTCCGTTTGTTTTTCTGGGCCTTTGTGGAGGTCGGCTCTAGCTCCTCTTCATCAGACACTTCAGCACACGCTAAGAACACACAGAAGGGTCAGCAAGGACTAAACCAGGACTGAACCAGGACTAAACCAGGACTAAACCAGGTCTGAACCAGGTCTGAACCAGGACTGAACCAGGACTAAACCAGGACTAAACCAGGTCTGAACCAGGACTGAACCAGGTCTGAACCAGGTCTAAACCAGGACTGAACCAGGTCTAAACCAGGTCTACCCTAGGTCTAAACCAGGTCTACCCTAGGTCTAAACCAGGACTAAACCAGGACTAAACCAGGACTAAACCAGGTCTGAACCAGGTCTAAAACAGGACTGAACCAGGACTAAACCAGGACTAAACCAGGATCAGTTGTACTCACCATCTGTCCTCTTGGTCCGTTTGTTTTTCTGGGCCTTTGTGAAGGTCGGCTCTAGCTCCTCTTCATCAGACACTTCAGCACACGCTAAGAACACACAGAAGGGTCAGCAAGGACTGAACCAGGTCTGAACTAGGACTAAACCAAGACTAAACCAGGACTAAACCAGGTCTGAACCAGGTCTAAAACAGGACTGAACCAGGACTAAACCAGGACTGCAGTCATGTGTCTCAGGTGTTAGACTCACCATCAGAAAGCTTGTCCATGGGACCATCAGCCTCAGCCTCCAAGTCACTGTTCTGAAGCTCTGTTTGGTCTGTGAACATATGAAAGATAATCATCATCATGAATCATGCCTTTGATCATATTTATGTAGAGTACAAACCACAGACAGCTGCATCCAGCGTCTGGAGGGTCTTTCCCTTTAGGGCCTCTGCCCCACCTTCCATTGCAAACAACAGCTTCCCAACTTTAGCCACTTGAAAGGTTTTATCAGTCTGTCTGTAGTAGTTGCAGTGGACTCTGATGTCGTGGCCCCTGAACTTTGCAACCTGCTCCAGCTCTTGGTTCGAGAGGTCCAGAAGTTGACACAATGTTGCCACGTGTTTCCTTAATTTAGTCGACCTGAGCATTGGATGGATGAGATGTTGGTCTTGCAAGATGGCGCCGGTGTGTCTGGTACGCCGCTTGTCTCTGCTGAGTTTTATCTATTTTATTACTGTTTTAACGTTTATTCCAAGGACCATCAACTCACTTCTGGTGTATGAACGTCAGGAGTTGTTAAAAATAAAAGAAACAGTGCAATCATGTGCACTTTACAGTGCTAAAGAGTCGGGTTCCTTTTACCTCTGCGACCTGCCTGACTACCTCCTCCGGGTAAATGCGCCGCTGCCCAGGAAGCGTAAACGCCGAGGAGTACGATCTGGCCGCCTGGTGCAGGTGAAAGCTTGGCTGGCACGGTATCCTGGCATGGCGTGGTCCTCCTCACTTCCACGGGACTACAGAGGCTGTCTCCACCGCTATCTCTCCCGGCGCGCGCTTGGACCGGCACGGACTTGGTTGGTGCCTATTATCGGACAGCGGGAGGATCCCTGCGCACTGCGTCCTCTCCGCTCTTCTCACCGGGGCTCGGCCGGTGTGTCCCTGCGCAATCTCTAGCCGCTGAGGCGGGCCTCGCGTGTGTCCACAACGGCGTCCATGAGCTGCGCACTCGTGAATGCGAGGTCCGTGGTGAACAAGACATTCATCCTCCGGGACTTTTTCACATCGCGCTCTCTGGATGTACTGTTCTTGACAGAAACCTGGATCCGCACTGGTGAGTCTGCTGCATTCTCTGAGCTATTGCCTCCAGACTGTACTTTTATTAGTTCACCGAGAGCCACTGGCCGTGGCGGAGGCATAGCAACGATTTTAAGAGAAAGCGTTCATCACAAAGGAATTACAGAGTGGTCTTTTAACTCATTTGAACTCAGCTGTTTCGAGCTGCGACAGACTGATCCTGTACTTTGCGCCGTTATCTACAGACCACCAAAACACAGCAAAGATTTTATAAAAGACTTTACTGAGTTCGTTTCTTTTAGTCTGGTGCGCTATGACAGGATTTTAATTGTCGGAGATTTTAATATACACGTTTTTGTTGTCCGTCTAAGCCATGCAGAGACTTTTTGGACTTGATTGAAGCTTTTAATTCTGACACAGCATGTTACTGTCCCCACACAGCCGCCTTTTCTCCTCTGTTCACTGTGTCACCGCAGAGTTTTTCCCACTCTGTTGTATCCCCAGACACTGAACAATTAATGTGCTCTTTTATGTCCACATGCTCTAGGATCCTGGACAGTATAGCGCCGGTTAGAGCTATTTGTCCAAAACAAAAACAGGAGCCTTGGCTCAATGACACCACGCGGGCAGCTCGGCGTGAGTGGCGGAGGGCGGAGCGTAGGTGGAATAAGGATCACTTGGAGGTTTCTTACCAAATTCTTATAGAAAAGTGCCGGGACTATCAAAGTGTGGTTAAAGCTGAGAAAACAAATTATCTTTCAGACTTGATCTTTTTAAAACTATTAGTTCTGTTTTTAATCCGAATCCAGCCACTTCACTGGAGATAACTAATGAAACGTGTGAACAATTTGTCTCCTTTTTTAATGACAAGGTTGCTTCTATTCGAGCCAATCTAACTCCTTCATCATTGAGTTTTAACATGGCTACTCGATGTTCTGCCGTTTTTAGTCAGTTTGTGTCAGTGTCCATGTCTGTGTTGACTGAGATGGTGAGCAAACTCAAACCTTCGTCCTGTCCCACGGACCCAGTCCCTCCTCGCTTTTTTAAAGAGGTTTGGGGCACTATTGGCTCTTCTGTGAGGGACATCATCAACAGCAGCTTGCTAACTGGCAATGTGCCTTCCTTTTGTAAAAGCGCTGTTGTTGAGCCTTTGATAAAAAAAGCAGGTCTTGATCCCATGGTTTTATCAAATTATCGCCCCATTTCAAAACTACCCTTTGTTTCAAAAATATTGGAGAAATGTGTTTTGGCACAACTGCAACCTTTTTTAAATGAAAACAGCACTTTAGACCCATTTCAGTCTGGATATAAAGCTTTGCACAGTACTGAATCTGCACTTTTAAAGGTTTTTAATGATTTGCTTTTATTGACTGATTCTGGAGGCTCCACCATTTTAGTGCTTTTAGATCTTACTGCTGCTTTTGACACTGTTGACCACACAATTCTTTTAGACCGCCGGAGAGATTGTGTGGGCGTCAGGGGGACTGCTTTGGAGTGGTTCAGGTCCTACCTGTCGGAGAGGTCTTTCTCAGTCAGGCTGGGGGATGCCACATCTTCTTCTGCCTCACTTTATTGTGGTGTCCCTCAAGGATCTATCTTGGGACCTATCCTTTTTGCACTCTATCTCCTCCCACTTGGGGAGATTTTTAACAGACACGGAGTGTCCTATCACTTTTATGCAGATGACTGCCAAATTTATATGCCAATTTCGAGAGGCCATGCCCCCCTGACGCCCCTGCTCAACTGTCTATGTGACGTCAAGGCTTGGTTAGCCCAGAATTTTTTAGTAATGAATGAGGGAAAAACGGAAATTTTAACATTTGGACCGGCCCTTACTGACTTGGGACCACTAGGAAATTATGTGCGTTCCAAAGTCACCAGCCTTGGCGTGACTATAGACAGTGATTTTAAATTTGACAAACAAGTGAATGGCGTTTTAAAATCGTGTTTTTATCATCTTCGGCTTTTATCAAAAGTGAAGCCATTCTTATCTTTTAACTTGTTAGAACAGGTTGTGCATGCTTTTATTTCCAGTCGTCTGGACTACTGCAACGCACTTTATGCTGGTGTCAATCAGAAAACCCTCTCCCGGTTGCAGTTGGTCCAGAACGCAGCAGCACGACTTTTAACGGGGGCCAGAAAGCGCGAACACATCACCCCTGTACTCGCGTCTTTGCACTGGCTCCCTGTTCATTTTAGAATTTATTTTAAAATTTTACTGTTTGTTTTTAAATCTTTGCATGGACAGGCCCCTGATTACATCTCGGACCTCATCCAAATTTACACTCCTGCGCGCGCCCTGAGGTCCGAGAGCCAGCTCCAGCTTGTGGTCCCTAACGCGAGACTTAAAACCCGGGGGGACAGAGCCTTTTCTGTGGTCGGCCCTAAGCTCTGGAACGCTCTTCCCCTCCATGTCCGGACGGCCCCCACAGTAGAGTGTTTTAAGTCTCGTCTTAAGACCCACTTTTACTCTTTGGCTTTTAACACTGTGTGAGTTGTGTGGTCCTCTGTGTTTTTATTTTTCTATTTATGGTTTTAATCTGTTTTATATATTTTTATTCTTTTATACTTGTGAAGCTAAGGATAAGTTGTTTTTTATTTTATACTTTTTTGTGCAGCACTTTGGAAACGTAACTGTAACCATGAGTGAGTCTGCGGCTCAACATTTTCTCTACAGGTGACAGTGTTTGACCTCTAGATGGAGCTATTGAGTTTTTACCTGCAGTTCCAGTTTCAGCCATGAGTGACGCCACAGAGCAAAATTACTTTTTACTTGCAGTACCAGCTTTGACCAGCGTGGCCGCTCAAGAGTAGATGTGTGTGAAATAAAAAAATAAAAAGAAAGGTGAAGTTCTTGATTTTCTATCATTTTGAGGAATTTCTGAGGGAAGCATTAGGGCACCATCAGGGACTCTATTGAAGCGTTTTGAGCAATCGCAAAGTGAGGACATGCCCAAATGTCCTCACTTTGTTTAATTGTCCTCACTCTGCTGGTCTAAAAACTCATGTCCTCACTTTGTGGGCTTTACAAGAACAAACGCGCGCACACACACTCTCTGTCACTCATACACACGCACAAGTACACCCACACTACACATGAGCGCAAGTTTGGTTTCATCATAACCATTTCTTTAAAAGGCGTGAGAACATATACAAATTCGTGCTTGCTTTCAGCTCTGTGGGCAACATGTTCCTCTGATGAATGGTCACACGGGAAAAAGCAAAGTTTCCAAAATCTGTCCTGCATTTGAGGATCCTGCACTCGGTAGATCTAGAGGCCTGTGTTGTTGAGTTGGAGCTCAAAGAGATGAACTCTTTCAGTGGAGGAGCAGCGGAGTCATGAAAAAAGGTTGAAGGAGATACCACTCACTCAACTTACCTCGGAGAAATGCTTTTTACGATTGTCTGCGTAAGTGAAAGGATTGTGATAGTGATGGCAAATATGAAGCCCCATGAAGCCTTGAGGGATAGCAGCCTATTACTCGGCCCATGAGTCGAAGGCTCCAAGGTGAATCATGCTCCACTACGCCATCATGTGGACAAAGAAATACATAACACTCTTAAGTGCTTACAATGAATGGTGAGATCTAATGTTAAAATGTATATTTACAATCTATGGTCTAACGTGTTGTGTTTGAAAAGATGCTTCATGAACTATGAACTATTTGAGTCTTTCAGTCAATTGTGTTGATACAACAAACACATCCAAAGTAATACAGTTCTACAGAAAGTGATTAATGGAGGAAAAACTACCAAGAGGTGGATTAATTAAACACAACAAACCATTTATTCCCAATAAATAAATACATTTACTTTGCAACACAAAATTTATTATGGGTAGACCAGGATTCGAACGCTATATCTTCTGCTTCGGAGTCCGTCATAGACCGACTGCGCCACACAGCTGTAGTGAAATGTATCATCCAGCGTATTATTACTAATAACTTGAAGCCCTGATATATGAGGTTTTACTAAAGTGAAAAGTTTTTAATTGTATTTCATATGAAGTAGTTTCTCTATACTTAGTACAGGACTGCTCCACATCACGCACACACACGTACGCACACAGAGGCAGACGGGGACAGCCAATACAGTCTATGGTACAGCCGCGGATCACAAAGCACCTGTCAAAGCAATGCACTCTCCGAACTCTCTGAAGCACTATATGAACCGTCACGTGGTCCGGCCGCTACGCGAGGCTTCGAACGTCACCACACACGTGACCAATACACGCCTCGACCCACACTTCACAAGAAACGCCCCCAGATTACTCGGTTCCACGCTTCGAAGACTCGGTCCGCTCAGCACATCACTAGATTGTGACATAGATTCTGAAGGAAATTAGACAGTCCAA